ATTGCTCCACAAAAGTCAGAGTTCAGAAACCAGCTGTTTGCTCTGGAATACCATCTCAGTTGGAATTGGATGCTTTGGATAATAGCACATCTGTTGCTTTACAATTTGTGCTCTTTTGCAACTTGATCCATGTTTAACATAACTGTTCTCTCCAGTCACTGTGTTGACTGAGAGTGTTGTTAAAATGCAAAACTGGAATCAGTTCACATTATGTTGCAATTTTTTTGCTCTTTTGTTGGTTTTGAATATGAATGCATGTGAAGACTTTTGAAAGTTCTGTCATCTGTTCTGTCTTCTGTTTAGTAAATTCAGGGGTTATTGAATATTGATCTCTAATTTTTATATTATATTTTCACCCAAATATGAGGTCTGGAAGAATGGAAACAAACATATATTCCAAGCTAGTATTCAGAGAAGGAAAATTCCCATCCTCCCTATTGCAAGCCATACTTCTTTTCCCCCTCAAATTTTCTTCTGACATTTCAGAGGTATGAAGTCACAGTACCTAACTTGGGGGAAAAAATCTGTAAATGTAGCTTCCATCTATTAAAATTGATGCATTCATACTTAGGGCCAGTTACTTTGGAAATGTCCATATTTAGCATGTTTTCTAAGGAATGAGTTAATAAGCAACTCTTCATTCAGAAGTGTGCACTCCATGCAAGTAAGCTTAATTTTATACTTTGGTCACTATTAGTGCACAGATTGAGGCAGTTTATAGCAGTTTTATTTAAATTATGTATGGCTGCCCAGGTTGTACTTACTTGACTTACAACAGCCAAGAAAACAAGAAAATTTTTGAATGAAAACTCAGACAAACATGTTCATACCTGCTTTTTAATGGGAACAATTATTCCAGGCCCATCATCTGGAGAAATACTCAGATTAATAAAGGCCAGCAGAATCAGAGCCAGCCAAACATTGGAAGAGAAGTGAGTAGATCATTTCACATGACAAGGAAAAAGCATTGTTTCAGGGAAGGGACTCAAAATGTAGCTACCCAATATAGTGAATGGGACTGAGTAATGTCATTGGAAAGGTTCCTCCTGCAAATTACCCTGTCCTGTGGGGCATTATAGATGATAACACCACCTTAAATTGTTGTTTCTTGGAAGAAAAACAATTGCAATTGTATTGTCACAATGATCTCATTCCATTCATGTCATCCATTTACATCAGGGTGTCCCAGCTCCCAGAATTTCTCAGCTGGGACATCCTGATGTAGATGATGAAACAAATGTTCTACTGTGAGTTTCTGATCTAGTTTATTCTCTGAGATTTCTCCAGTTGCAGCCTCTTAACTCAATCTTTGTTAACCAGAGAAAGACCTGTTGGAGGTCATACAAAGAGGTAGGATGATACTGCAATTGCAAAACTTCCAACTGTTGCTATGGGAGTCTCTGCAAATAGACAATTTGATGGTATATGTTTCTAACATACCGTAATTGCCGGCGTATAAGATGACCCGGCGTATAAGATGACCCCCCCTCCGGTAACTAATCATCCAATATTTACACAGTGTGTGTGTTATTCTGTGTTGGGAGTGAAGGATGTTCGAACTCTCTTAGATGGACTGTCTAAAAGAGCGTGTCTCGGAGTAGGCAGGCGTTACTCCAGAACCCTGGCCCTTCCTGGCGGAGTCCCTCGGGCTTTCCCGCAACAGAGTCCTCTTGCAACGCGTCCGCTAGGTCAGCCAAACGATCCCAGCGGGGTCACCGGAAACACCCTCCAGAAATCCCCGGGGCTGCAGCAGCAGGGCGGAGTGCCAGGGGCCGTGGGAGGAGCAGGAAGGCGGGCAACCTTCACATGGCCCTGCCTGGGGCGACAGGAGCGACCCACGTTCTCGCTCCCCCCAGTCGCTGCAGCCTCGGGCGGAGCGAGGTGAGCGGGATTCAAACCTGATTCAGAGACGCGGGGAGGCTCTTGGCGGAAGCGACGCGGGAGATCCGGGAAGCCAGAGGCGCCTTCGCTGCGTCCCACAAGCATCTGAAAGCCGGCAGTGGATATACCGGCGTATAAGACGACCCCCCCACTTGGAGGCATGTTTTTCAGGGCAAAAAAGTCGTCTTATATGCCGGCAAATACGGTACTTTCCACCTCACATGGTAGGGTACTGGCAAATTTAATGCCTTATTCTCAAAGGTGTTAAAGGGAGGTTTCAATAACTTCTTGTATTCAGAGGCCTTATCTGTGTCATGTACTTCATCCTAGGTTGCTGTATCAGTGAGATGGGCGGCAGACTTATTTATCAACACTTTTATGAAAATTGATAAATTGTGCTCAGCTGAAAATACTTTCAGAACATGCTGGATTTCAACCATATTTACATGAATATGGTTTGGTTATTTATGTTAGCCTTCAATGTTGTTAGTTAGTTGTTCATTTGCTTCCATTTCCAAATACCTAAACTATTAAGGAAATAGTTATTGTTTTCTAGGGAATATGCATTTTCTTTGATTTTTTTCACCGTACTGTACATTCAAAGAACAAATAAATAGAAGAATTTGTGCAGTTGCAACTTTAAAGTAATATTTAGAAAATATCTAAACTTTGTTAGGATTATTTAAACATAATTTATTTATGAAAATACTGCCTTTTTATAGATGGCAAATACTGCTACGTGCAGTAGAATTTTTCTGAAAACTAAAATTTTGGTTCAGCTGTTCAAATATCTTGCACATGGAATAATGGCATTACACAGGAATCATCCTGAGCTGTACATGTAGAATGATAATAATCTACATCAACTGTCCGACTAGTGAACCCAAAATAAGGAAACACTCTTGGGAGCTTTGAATTCCCAAAAGTAACACTTTATTGGATACACCATTTTGGTAATGAAGAATCAAAACCAGTTCTGGTTTTCCCGCACAAATGCTTGCTTAGATAAACAACAAGTTCCCTTTCTCCTCACCCCTGGGTGATCACACTGTCCAATTATGAGATGTCCTTTTGTAATGGGAACAGTCCATCTCTTTCTCAAGCACCTGCAATGGTAACCTTGATGGTTGCCAAGCTCTCACAGTCCGTGCACACATTTTCAGCATTCTATTTCCCTCTTCCCTCCCTCCAGTTCATTGGCAAGTTGAAAAATGTTAAGGTTTGAAAGAACCAAAGCGGTTCAATCTTGGCAGAGGTTTTCATTTAGTGGAAATGAATGATCATATGTTCAGTTTTCTATTCTCATGTTGGGGAATATGTGGATTGTGGAATATAAGAGAATGATCCACATTTGGTTTAGTTGATGAGAAATGCAATAGGTGACATTAAAGATTATCAGATAAATGATATACTATTTTCTGGAAATATTATTTGTTCCTTTTGATAAAGATAATACTTACTATGGAATAAGGTTTTTTTCCCTTTTGGTAACTGCTAGGGTAGAAATGACAAAACATTAAAAATCACTGATAAAGTATAAAAATGGTTTTACCTTGAAAATTACATGCAGGATGAAGAACATTTAAAGTCTTGGCTTATTGGCATACATGATATATCCCATATATATATATATATATATTAAAAATGACTATATCTTTAGAACCAAGTTGCTACCTAAAATATACTAGCTAATTTAGCCAAGCTGTTAAAACAACATAAGTGAGAATGCTATTGCTAGCATTCTCACTTAACTAAAAATCAACAATTTATGGCATGTGTTATCAATTAAGATACTTAATTAGATGATTCAATCTATATATATATATAAGCAAAATACCACTCATGCATCTTCACAAAATCTCCAGAACTATAAAGCCTGCAAATTTGAAATTTGGCATTTATGTTCCTCTTTGCTTCTAGGTGCTCACTAAGAAAGGATTTTTTGAAATGACCATCAGAGCATTAGTATTTCGTATATTATTATTAACATGTTCTGATGTAAGGAGTTCTACTCCACCTCCCCACCTGAAAAGAAATCTGTTCCAAATGCCAAACACAAGCAGAGGAGAGGAGTTTCAGTTTCACAGCACCAAGCAGCTTTAGTACAGAACAGTTGAGCCAAGCCACACCCAGGCTCCTTGCTGTCTCCTTCTTGCTCACACAGCAAATACTCTTTCAGTTCTCAACTCTCTCACACACTGACAGGACACTAGCCAAATGAATACTGATGGATGCTGGTAGGCAAAGGCAGAATTCCCCCCCTTATTTTGCTCCCCAAAAACTAAGCCCGGCCACATAGTTTTGTAGCGAAGCACGGGTATCGAGCTGGTATTGTATATGACATCTCTATATGTAAAAGCCAGTTTGCTGTAGAGGTTAATGCATCAGACTAGATACAAACACAGAGATCATGACTGGGACAGTCATGTTCAGCTCTTGGAAGGAGGCAAACAATTTCTGAAAAGCCTTGCCAAGAAAACTGCAGATAGTCGGATAGTCTCCAAGAATCAGACATGATTGCATGGAAGTGGAAAATAGGAATAAAACTTTGTAATCCAATTTTTCTAAAATATCTTTTGCTGTTAGCTCTAACATTGATCTTCTGAAATGTTCCCAAAAGGATGATATGGTTAGTTTTTAATTCATAGCTTTATATAACAAAGATATAAGAAACTGGTTGCTTATCCCTGCGGAATGCTAGTACATTATATTAATCTTTAAGAATACAGAATATCTGTTAAATGTTAATCATTTTTATGAATTAATGTGGTATTTCAAGTCAAGAGCACAACATGATGTTTAGCATTTAGAATACGAAAATAAAGATTATCAAAATGAAGTTCCATCCTTTTGGTGCGTCAATTTCCATCGTTTCGGTGCATCACTGTCTATCGATATCCAAATTTAATATAGAGGCAAAGTAATTTGCTGGCAAAAAAAAACCTATGTATTTCAAACGTATCGTAATTTATTTGTAACATCTTATACTTTTTTAAACATAATATATATTTAAATATTTATTAACTATCAGATTAAAATCCATATATAAAAGCAAAATAAATGTGAATACTGATTAAAAATATTATGTATTTTTAAAAATAATACTTTTGATAGCCTTGTATTGTTGATGAACTCAATATAAGCCAAGTCTGTTGATTTTTCCCTATGTTGCAATATGTGTCTGTATGTTCTTGTTTAGTGATAGTTTCATTGATGTAGATTGCATCAACTCTGAGTTACAAATATTCTCCTTTTATTGAGATTGAATCCTAGATAACATTTTATATTCTGTAACAAATATTAAGTTTGTTACTCATTAAATATACTTGAAATGTACTTGGTAGCAAGAATGAATAGTTGGCCCCAGGACAAAGTATTCATGATATCAACAATTATTTTATGTAACCCAAAATGTAGGCGTCTATAGGCAAAAAAAGAGTGCTTATGATAATGAATCAAAATCTCCTGAAACGTTATGCAGCAGGATGAATGTTTTATTATTTATCATGAGAGATAGCAAAGATTTCAGGAGTAAAGTTAGTAAGATTATGTGAAATTTGATGATATCTTAAGATTTTAGTCAGCTTTCATTTTATTTCTGGGTATCCTGTCAACTGAAAGGATTGTTGTTCTTTCTATTATACATTTTATAATTAATACATCTTCGGATTCAAATTATGTTTTTAACCTACTAGTCTTCTGTTTCACTTGAGTACAATATTAACTTCAAATTATTCTTCTGAGTCAATGGATAGCTCCTTGAATAATTTCATATTTATGAAGTGAATTTGGGCAAAAGATAAATGTTTCATGAATAGTAAGTTTATACACAGACACACACATCTACATGCATAAACCATAAAATAGTTAAATGCTTGACTATTTAACTATTCAGTTAAATGTTAGCTGAAATACCAAGAGATTTTTAAATCTACTATTGTAATGGGTTTGCTGCAAGCCTAATTAGGATTCAGAATAAACTAACTTCTCTTAGAAAAGTTATTCAAATGAAAAATAAGATCTATGTCAAATAACAGTAGTGTATCATATTGCAGTCTCAAATATATCAGCATTTAGAGAGTATCATTACCATACCAATATTATACAAACGACATTGTCATGGCATGTATTGTATTCACCTAAATGTTTCTATAATATTTAAAATGTTTTCATAGTCTGCTATTAATAGTTTGAACATCTAAGAAATACTATTTTCATGGCTATTGAGATTTTCTACATAAAAATATTCTATATGCTATAAAATATATTGAATGGCTTCAGATGGTTTACTGCATTTTCCAGTTTATTCTGTTTCATTTATACTTGATATTATTTTTTGTTTGTTTGCTAGTTTTACTACCTCTTAAAATTGTTAATAGAAGTAAGGATCAAGGTAGTTGTCATTGTCACTTCCTCTGGAATCGTGATCATGACTTTCATCTTCTTCATGAAAATCTTCTGCTTCTTCATATTCTTCTGGAGTCAGAAATCTTCGGAACACAGGTGTTTTCAGCTGTGTTTGCTGATCTTTGCTAATTTTTTGTTCTCCATAATAAATGGTCCGCACATGTGGAAAGCAGAAGAATGCATAAGTGCTGATAGGAGCTGTAAGCTTGTTTTGGTCTACTCGTATGTACGTTAAATGTTTGAAGTTCAGTGGATCAATAGCAGGACACATTAAAGTAACATTCATGACTGTAAAAAGACAAAAACAATGTTCATTAAAGTAAATAGGTTCCTGTAAGATATTCCAAAGTACTCTTTTCCTATTATGAGAGCAAAACCAATAACCAGAATTCTTCTATCATTGTTGACTTTACTTAAGCTGAAATTTATTTTTTTCAGTTTCCACCACTCTGTTAATGTAGGTTCCTCAATCATTGAAATGGGACAAAAAAAACAGCATCAAATAAGATCTTAACTGAGAGTTTGGGAAATTGTGGCCATCTTTTTTTCTATAACAAATCCTACGTAAGGATTTGGCATGTATGTGTATCTTTTAAGCAAAAGACTAATTGCAACATAGGGAAAAAATTGGATCGTATCTCCTAATTGTTTTCTTCCTATATCTAAAATTCCATATCGTTGCTAGCTAATTTAGTACCACATGAATTTTAGCATAAGCACCTTTGGAAAGCTAATTCACTTATACATATATTACAGTGTAATTAAATATACTTCAAGTAAAAGTAAATGTTTAAAAAACTAGATTTATAAAAGCAATTAAACTCACCTTCTAGTTCATTATCTTCTAAGTATAAATGTTGTAGGGTTCTTGGAATATAGAAAATGTGTTTCAATTTGTTATGCCCAAGATTAAGTTCCAGAAGATTAGAAAACATAAAAGCATTATAAGGAATTTCTTCAAGATTATTGTGTGACATTCTTAAAGCAGTAAGATTTGGAAGTTTGTGGAAGTAATTATCTGGAATGGAAGAAACTGAATTATTTTCAAGTGAAAGATACATCACTGAAGGTGGTAGATCTGGAAGCATAGACTGTAGCTTGTTGTTACAAAGGTTAATCTGCATTAGGTTTCTCATATTTGAAAAGTCTATTCCTTTGAGCTGGGAATCCTCAAGATAATTATTACAGAGGTCAAGCATTGTTAAATGTGTTAGCCCTTCCAAGGCTTTACTGTGTGACTTGGAAATTTGATTGAAACCCAGGATCAACCTTTCTAAGCTTCCAGGTAATGGGAATGGAATTTCTTCCAACTGATTATATTCTAAATGAAGTTGAATGAGGTTTGCAAGTTTGACGAATACACCATTGTCAATCTTATGAGACTTGATTTTGTTGTGGCTGAGATTAATGTCTTTCAAAGCTGTGGCATTAACAAAGGATTCCAGAGGCACAGCTTCAATCTCATTATGTTGCAAATAAAGTTGCTGGATGTGAGCTGGAATCTTTGGTATTGTCAGAAGCTTGCGATGATCACAGTACATAGTTGTTGGGAATGTAGGTGAACAGAAGCATTCTTTGGCACACTCAGCATGTACGTTGGAGTATGGGATGTTATATTCTACACGAGGAACTTGACGAAAAATAGATGGATATTCACTATCCATCTCATGTTCGTATACATCCTCAAAATCATCACTCTCATATTGACCAAATACTGACATTTCAAAGAGAAGAAAAAGAGTTAACACTTGGCTTGGTTTTACCACATTCATTTTCTTCATGTGTATCCTGCAGAAAGAAGAAAACAAGATTAAATAAGTTAATATTAAAAAGTTGATAACAAAGGAAATATTGGTATTATACAGTTAACAGAACAATGTTTTCTTTGCTTTGTCTAGGACAGGGGTAGTCAACCTTTTTATACCTACCACCCACTTTTGTATCTCTGTTAGTAGTAAAGTTTTCTCTAACCGCCCACCGGTTCCACAGTAATGGTGATTTATAAATTAGGGGACAAAACCCCTACCGCCCACCATGAAAGCTGGAACGCCCACTAGTGGGCGGTAGGGACCAGGTTGACTACCACTGGTCTAGGAGCTAACACTTCTATATATTTAAGGTTTAAAATTATCCTCAGCTTGGAATTAAAATTCTTTTTCTGTTTGCACTAAGCTTGAATGAGTACAACATTCAATAGACGTAGCTAAGCAATGTAGCATTAAAAAGATTTGTTGGTGCTTAGTGGCATGTAAAGGATAAGGCATATACATTTAACTTATTTTAGGACTCTGTATTTTCCCATTGTCTATTTTGATCTGTTCCTACAGTTGAAATTATCCAATATGAGTGTTCAACATAAATTCTTATTTTTCATATTATAAACATTGGTGTTACTGTTAGCTTACTTACTGATTAATATGATTCCATTGGAATTTCCCTGTTATGAAAAAATGGCTGAAGTTTTAAAGTATAATATGGCAATCCTCTGGCTTCAAAGAAAAACACTGTTGTGCAGTTCATCTCTGAACCTGGTGGTGGCTCTGCAGCCCAGTCTTAAAGCCCAGTCTCTAGACATCATGTCAGCCCTCCCAGGTAAGCCAGACAAGAACTAATTCTACTTTTTTTTAATAAGGCTACATTAACAGAACTTTACAGATCTAACACTAGGAACTTCCTGCTATCACTTTTAACCATTTGATCAATTGGGGCAAGTCCTCCCTAACTGTAATCTAATTTGCTTCCCTTATCTTTTATAGAGAGCCAATTGGGCATCACAGACATCCTCAAGCATCTCCTCTGTGGATCAAATGATTTCCAAGATGTCTTAGAATGTTTATAAAGTATTTGGGTCTAGAGATTTGTAGATCTCAGCAGGAATGAAATTATATCCGGCACTGTTGCTTTACTTAAGTTCATCTTCAAGATCGCATTCTTGAATTCATTGGTAAAGGGGGCGGGGGCATGTCTAAGGCATCCAAGACTGGTAGCTGAGCAATTTTCTGTAAGACATCAGCATCAACTATGGAAACCCTACTGAGTAAGTTAGAAAAGTTTATTGTTTTAACAATAGTTAAGATTTATAAAAGTACTTCTTGTCAGGCTATCATATAATCTGGAAAAAAAATCTGGCTGATAGGAGTAAAGGTTTACAGTATTTTGTATCTCAGTAGATATCTAGTAGACATCTGGATTTTTGTAGATCTAATTTTTTTGTGTTTACCTGATATATGGAAAATCCTAGGTAAATCAGGAAGTTGATTGGATGTACTTTTCTTCTAATATATGGGTTAAAAGATCTTATGTAAGATTACCTTCCCACCAAAGTGGTCCCTATTTTTCTACTTGCATTTTTTACATCCTTTCGAACTCCTAGGTTGGCAGAATCTGGGACAAATAACAGGAGCTCACTCTGTTACGTGGTGCTAGGGATTCGAACCGCCAAACTGCCGACCTTTCTGATCGACAAGTTCAGTGTCTCAGTGTTTAAATTGACAATAAGAACTCTCAAATCAGTGGAACGTGTTACATCATGAAATGGTTTCTTCCCTTTTATTAGGGATTTTCAAACACAGGCCAGATAGGAATGAAGGCAAATGTACGTGTCCCAGGATAAAGTTGCAGAAGCCAATCTGGGTCAGTCACAGGGATCAGAACTTTTGGACTCGAGCTGGAGCCCATTCTCAGGGAACTTCTCTGTAGCAGAGTGTGTGCTTTGGGCTATTCTGTGTGTGGGTATTTATATTGTGCCTGGTTGGTGTGACTTTTTCATTATTGATTGGGGTGTTTATAGCTGGCTATTCACTTGTTAGCTCTTTAGTAATATATGTTTTAATAAAAAAAATAGTAATTTATTTAAGCATAAGAATGAGAAGACTTATATAATTAATTGGAAAGCCTAGATATCGTTCTTTAGATTCAGAAGTAAGAGAAATTGCCTATATTTTCTTTAACTGTCCGTCCATTTAAAATAAGTTATTATCATCCTGTAAAATAAATTGAAAGGAGCTACTGTACTGCAGCATAACTGCCACAGTAAAAATATTATTATTAATCTCAGAAACAGAGTAAAAAAAATAGTTAATTGATTCCAGTAAATATGGGAAGAGAGAATGCACAATGATGGCCAAAACAGCAACCATAGTTAAAGGACTAAATATTATACAACGGTTGTGTTCCATAAATGTCAAGTCAAGTTGAAATTTTGCATATATGATATTGATCAATTAACCAATATCAAATAGCATAAATTCTTGCTTATATGTAAAGTTATATGTAAAGTTTGTTGCCTGACAACGTTAGTATTAGATGATAAATCAACACAAGAAACATGGAGAAATAATCTAAACAGGTAATAATTTATGCTTAATTCAGGTTAGTAAATAGATTTATTTTGTATTCAAGCAAATGCCCAAATTTAAAAAAACAAGAGCAAAAGTGTCTAAGCAGAATATAAATTAGGAATTGGTTGATATAAAAATATCTTCACTTATAAGCATTCACTTCTATTGAATAAATTCTATTCCATGAAATTGTTGCTAAATAAAGTATACTCTTTCATATGTGTAAATCAGAACAGTCTCTAAGCCTTCTGTTATAAAAGTTTAAAATACATATTTTATGTCTCCTGACATAGGAAATATTTTTCCTGACACAATTTTCCTTTTCTTCCTACCTTTTTTTGTTTGTTGAATTCATTTTAATCACATAATTAAGAAAATTAAATGTTTATTTGCATCATAGCTTATCTAAAGCAAGAAGCATACTTTTTTCATCAGCTTTAGCTGCTAAAAATTCTATTCAACCACACACTTCTAGTGTCCCAATCAGTTTCCTCTTGCTATCAGCTTTGACTATGTCTAAAATAATTTTTCATTCTGGTTTGCTATCTGCTGCTTTTGAACTGAACTGATTTTCAAAAAATGAAATGCTTTACCAAAAGAACCAGAAAAGTACAACATTGGTTTAAGAATGTGAACCATTAGATCTGAGTATAAACCACCAAATGAAGTTGTTGACTCTTAAATAATAGGCTAATAGCTCTCAATAGATAGTTATCCTTATAACTCAAGCAGAATCTTGTATTAGATGAGTGAATCAACATATGCTGCTCTGTTCCTGTAAACTTTACCTTCTGAAATATATTCCTGTTCTCTCCAAAGTCTGTTATGGAAGCAGCTGAGCAATAGGCAGCCTTTCTGGAATAATGGCTTAAGAGAACTGGAAAAATAGCAGCATCATAGTGCTACAATGGAGCAGCTAGGCAGCAGATTCAGATCTACATTAGTGCTGGCACAGGAGAAGATAGGATTCCATTAAAGCTAACTCTTAGGAAATTTGCAGTGTTGTTTTCTTCTACTATTGCCCAATAATCTGTTTTCTACCAAACCTATGCAAAGTAATCTTGTCTTATCTTAAGAAGTCTTCATACATTGTTATTAATTCATGCATAAATTAGACAAATTTATGTTTATTATGAGGTACGTCCTTTTAAAAGCTATCTGTTATTAAAAGTAACACTGTATAACAATAGTAGATAAATTGGATTTGAAATGTAGTACTCGAAGGCACATTACCACAGAATTAATAGAAGTTTTAAAAACAAATGATTTCCTACCTGAAGATAATTTGGTAGTTTTCTGCCAAAGAATATACCAGAGATTGTATATGATGATGCCCTCAAGGTATAAGTGTTATCTTGTCGATATAAGCATTTTACCAAGTATAATTTGCTGCAAAAGATTCTGGAGAATGAAGTATTCCTTGTTGAACAGAATAGATTATACAAGTAAGGATGTAATTTTACTCTGGTGAAATTATGTGGCTTAACTCTCTTTCTCTAATTTTTGGTTTGAGGTGTGGTAGGAATTTCCTTCACTTGAGGGGATGGCTAAAGATTATTTTTAGCACTGACCATCAAACTATGCTTGTTTCCTTGTCAGTACCAGTTCTTATGTTCATTTGTTACTCAATGAAAATCCAAGGAAAATACATTAGTATTCAATCTTTTACAAAGGCATTTAATGTTAGCATTTTAAAATGGGTCAATATTTAACATTCTGATTGTTTAGTTTTATAGTTGTTATAAAGCATGATTTTTTTCTATTTCATATCAGTTGTAACATAACTGAGTCCTGAGTGTATGAGCTTATTTTGTGAAAACACAAATAACAGCTGACATAATCAAATATATTGACTGTGATTCTGTGTACACTTTTCAGACACTAAGTAAAACTTATTTTAAGGATAGCTCTATGAAGAATGCATTGCGGTAATGCAACTGAGTAACTAAAGCCACAGTAATTGTGAATACAGCCTTCTGTTCGAGGAGGTGGCATAACTTATATAATTTTATTGAAATTATCATAATAGAAAATACAAATGAAAATAAAGATAATAGGGAAATGGAAGAAGAAAAAGGGGGAAGGAGAACTGTGGAGTCAAGGAAAAAAGAAAAAAGTATCTTTTCTTTAATTAAAACAGTTAATTTGGCCATCTCAATTTTTCTATACATTCTTCCATTATGGGATTATTATATCTTACCATTTTTGTGCATACATATTTTTTGCTGCAATAAGCATATATAGTAACAAAATTCTAGACTTTTTTTTTCAAATTCCTTGTCTATCGGGGTGTGGCATAACTGACATACCAGTACACATATGATACAAAGACTTTTGAATAGTAATATCAAGATGAAACCAGAACTCTTTTTATTGGGACTAATGAATAGTTACTTAAGGAGACTGAATTTATATATGATTACTGCAGCAAGATTATTATTTGCACAAAGGTGGAGAAATGCTGAAATATCCACAATGGAAGAATGGGTTGTGAAGATGGTAGAACTAGCTGGTCAGGGAACACAGCAATAAGTACTTTTATAAGAACCTCTTCTATGAATGGAAAATGGAAAAACAGTGAAATTCAGATTTCTGAATTTGATGATTGAAAAAAAGTGGAATAAGGGGCTGAAAGGATTATTGTTGTACTAAGGAAGGAGGAGGGGTAATAAGTATTTTTGCAGCCACTGTTAAGTAGGACAGAAATTGCTTCATTAGAAGGAACTTATTTCTTTATATAACTAGCGTAGCTTCTCTAAAAGCAATGCTTTGTATTTGCCAAATGTACCCAGAATTTTCTTATAGTTGCATCAACTGTGATGCAAACAAAGCTAAGACACATGCATCAACACATACCTCACTGAACACTCTGTCAATATTGGAGAGAAACAAACTCAAATATATCAAAACATATACAAAAACTCCCCAATAATTACCTTTCTGGCTTGTACTCTATTAATTACAGTTCACGTTGGAAAATTTTTGTATACCACAGCAGAATCTTGGCGGTTTTAACTTTGAGAGGACAGTCTGATACAGCTAGAATTCATTAATGGGCTAGCCACTTGGGAAAGCGCCTCTGGATGACACTGAGCAGATGGAATGGTGTTGTTGAAGAGCAACAAAATCTACATTACTGCAGTATCTTCACATGGGGCCTGTGAAGGCTATATTCCAAAAATTGGGAGAAGAGGTTCATGGGAAAAGTTGAAAGTAAAAGTTATTAATTTTAAATTCAAATTTAGTTATATATTCTCCCATGTATTTTAAAAAATTATCTTTATGTCTTCATTGCATTATTGTTTACCAGCAATTTTCAAAGCAGCTTTGGGGTCCACACACAAAACTTTGCGCTCTTTAATTGCTACAGTGTATTATATGTTTGATGCCTCTGAAAAGAAACCAAGAAATTAAAGACTATTAACCACTAAGGCATTTAAATAGGAATGGGACCTATGGTTGTATTATCCTATATTTTAAACTTATCTCAAGTCATATATCCCCTCCTGCAAGTGAAGAAGATCCACTAAAATGATCAGTTCTCAGTGATTTTTAAATGTTTCAAGGAGCCAATACTAGTCATGCTGCTGTACCTATTTCAAGTCATAGAATGGAAAAACACAGTCATTAATAGAAACTTGCTGCTTGTACTTGATGAATCCTTTCTGAGTTTGTCTCTACCTCCCTTAATATTGGAGCCATTTCCAATTAGATCTTTTAGGTCCATGTTGAAGATTAATATGTCCATCTAGCCCTTCTTCCTATGAATTTCATGGAAAAATTTTGCTCCTTTCAACTCATCTTTGTACTGTCTATATTTTCTGCCAATTATTTAATTAATTGTAATCTTTTGTCATACTATGATGGATTTTGTTTCAATTTTAATTCAAGTGAATGCATTGCATATGAACATAGTATAACAATAAATAAATATTGTTTGGTCATGGCTGACTTACTGGACAGTAACCCAACCATGAACAAACAATATATGTTTTGACATATAATGAATAAATGTTTTGACATATAAAGACCTTTGTGGTTTATGGTTCAGAGTCCCTATATATTCTATATGGACCATGATGAAATTCCTATCAGAGGCCTTTTTCCAAGGTCATGCCCAAATAGTTCTTCTATTTATGAAATGCCTTATCCAGACTCTACTTTCATACCTTTTCCATTCTTGACCATCCCTAATTATGTATTCAGATCCTTTAATAAACTGTATGTTTTTTCTATATGTTTTAAAATAATATAACAGCTTTAGTGCAGTTTAATCTGGTGTATTATAAGCTTAATATATGCCACATTTTAAAATTTTGCAAATCTTATTTAGCTTCAGCTCCATGTAATTAATTATTGCTTTTAAGTGTTGATTATGTGTAGAATAATTGAGTATACATTCTGTGTATAATGACTAGTAAGTGTTGGATACAAATGGAGTACATAAAAGACAACAACCAAAGGAGAGGAGCTACTCTGTTTATGCCTTCAGTTACCTTCTTTGTTTCATAATTCAATCAGGTCACTATCACTACCATAATTATTTCAATAAATAATTAGTTTTTTCTTCTAGTAGTTTGTCCAGAATAGTGATAAAAGTAATTGGTTGAGTTTCATGAGAAATATACCTGCTGTACAAATATGGTGTGCTTTCTAAGCATACTACCATGTTTCTCAGAAAATAAGGCCGGGCCTTATTTTCTTTTGATCCCCGAAAAAACGGCTAGGCTGTCTTTTCAGGGGTGACTTAATTCCCCCCCCCCCACCCTCGCCTAGAGCGCCCTGTGGGCAGCTATGCCTCACCACCAGCTGCTGCTAATGGTTGATTATGGCAGAGAGTGGAGGGCTCCCTACCCTTGCCAACTGCCTTTGCTGCAGACCCGGGTATGGTGCTGGCTGCAGGCCAGGTCAGCGGGCAGGCAGCAGCGCCGTGGATGTCAGCCTCGGTGAGGCACTTTACATTGCGAGAACTTCGGTGCCCGCCACTGCTGCTTCCTCCGCCGTCATTGCTTTCCCTTCTGTCTGTGCCGCTGCCGTGTTTGGAGTGTTCCGCATTCCTCCACCGGCAACGTTTCAGCCGCTTCTCGGGCAGGGGAGCCATCTCCGTAGCTTCCACAGTTCCCACCAGCGCCTCTCTCACCAGCGCCATCTCCAACAACAGCAGCAGCAGTGGTGGGACAGACCCCGCTGCCAACAAGAACCACCTGCCCTCCCGCAGGGGCATCGCTTTGGTTGACGGAGGCTGTGTCGACAATGTCTTTCGGGCTTTGATGGGTGGAAGTGGCAGCGGAAGGGTGATGCCATCGTTTCTCTCCCCCCACGTCTCGCTTTTCTTCCACCCCAGAGCTTCGGGTCATGGTCTCATCCCCTGTAGGGTCGGGTGCTCTCCTCTTGTTCCAGCCCCCAACCCACCCCCCCGTGGACCTTTTTCCCCCTCTAAGTTTTCTTTACTCTTATTCCCTCCATAAGATTTTCGTTTTAGTAGTAGTTTGTCGTGTACCACTGAATCAAAGGCTTTACAGAAGTCTATGTAGATTGCCTCTATTGTTTTGCCCTGATCGAGTTGTGTAGTCCATGTTTTTGCAGTGTAAGAGTTGCAGATTACAGGATAGTTTTTTCTAAAACCAAATTGTTTATTAGAGAGTAAGTTGTTTGTTTCTAAGTGGAGGATGATGGATTGGTTAATAATTGATTCCATTACTTTACAGGTGACGCAGCATAAAGAGATTGGTCTGTAATTTTCAACTAGGCTGGGGTCTCCCTTTTTGAAGATGGGGATGACCGTGGCTTGTGACCATAGTTTTGACAAGGAGCTGGTCCTGAAAGATTTTTCAAAGATTATGCTTAGAGGTTCGGCTATGGCAGTGGGTAGCTTTTTTAAGAAGTAGGCACATATTCCATCTGGTCCAATAGATAGAGATGGTTTTAGATTGCATAGTGCTTTTTCAACATTGTCTTCTGTAAAATCGATATGTATTAGATCATTATAGTTGTCTGTGGTTCGACTAGGAAATACTGGGCATGATCCATTGCTGTTTACAAATACTGAGCCAAAGAATGTGTTAAAGAGGTTGGCTTTAATAGTGTTGTTGTTGCAGTCCTTACCATAAGGTCCTTTTAGGGGTGGGATGGATCTTGAGTCTTTTAGTTTGTTGTTTACAAAATTGTAGAAAGTACAGGTGGAATTGGTGTGCAGAAGGTTTTCTTTTTATTTAATGTGATAATTGGTGCATTCAGTTTTTATCTGGTGGCATAAATTTTTGTATCGACTTTTGAAGTTGGCAACGTGACCAGATTTGTTTTTCCGCCAAAGTGATTTCTTTTTGGATTGAAGCTTCCTTATTGTTATGGGTAATTTGTTTTTTTCTGGTTTTGGGAGTTGTTAATGGTACATATAGTTTGATGACTCTTTTGACTTCAAGTAAAAATACGTTGTAATGGTCTTCTACAGTATTACATC